TTGAGTCCTGAAAATACATGAATAGTTGTATTTTGGATGGTGGAAATTTGAGTTTAGCCCCAACATGGTTGGAGATGGTCTTAGAATGGTGACAATAGCCTATTGTCTCGACTTCATATGTAACAAACTCAAATTAGTAACTACAGAGTGACATCCATAGTTGGAGCCCATCCAGGACCACCTCGTGGTTCAGACCAAAAAAAAAAAAAAAAAAATAGGTGACCAAAGATGCCAACAATCCAAAAAAATAGTAACAACTGTTGAATATATATATATATTTTTTTTTTTTTTGTGTAGTCTTATTTTTGTGAGAATATAATTTATTTAAAAGCTGAGTTCTGATTAACCTTTGATTTTTATCAACTGGTCAAAGTTTTAAATTTCGCATCACTTTGTTTTAAACAAACCCCTTCTTCAAATTATTGAAAGCGAAACGTTATAGTATCAAATTTCGTTAGGGTGTGACATTCTTAATTATACCTCCATTTTGAAATGTGACAAAACATTAACCTATCAGGAGCAAAATCAAATGAAACTTGGTGGGTTTAATTTTCACACTATAAAATGTGATACACAAATGGAAATGCAAAACAACGATAAAAATATTTTATATTAATTAGCTTATATTATCCCTAAACACATCGAAATCTCTCTTATGTTTGGACATGGAACACATAGATTAAGGCACATATCCTCGTCTCTCCTGGTACTTATCATACTCTTCCATGGTGTTGAACTCATTGGTGTTCTGAACATAGTTTCTATTGCTTCCTCTCCCTGCTTCGTAATTTTCATGATAGTACCTTCCATTTTCCAAAAACCTTGTGTCACTCATCCCTTGCTGTGCATTAATCTCACGGTTTTCCCAGCCATTGCTGCCCTTGTAATTGTTCGTTTTTGTGTAGCCATTGCCATTAATGTAGTTGTTGTTGACATAGTTGGTCTTGTAGCCATTACCATTAACATAGTTGTTGTTGTTGTTGTTGTTGTTGACATAGTTGGTCTTGTAGCCATTACCGTTAACGTAGTTGTTGTTGTTGACATAGTTGGTCTTGTAGCCATTACCGTTAACGTAGTTGTTGTTGTTGACATAGTTGGTCTTGTAGCCATTACCGTTAACGTAGTTGTTGTTGTTGACATAGTTGGTCTTGTAGCCATTGCTGCTGTGCAAGTTGGTGCTTTCATAATTACCTGTGCGATCAAAGCTTTCACCGCTTAGTTCTTCGGCCAAAATTTCATCTTCACCATCAATGGTGGTTGGTGTCTTCTCCGTGGAGGGGGATTTGCCCGAGCCAAGGCCGTACAAGGCGCCTTTGTGGCGGTGCTCTTTCTCCAAGTAACTTGGTGCTGGTGCCGGCACATCTGCTAGTTCTGGTGCCTCTGCTGCTGGTGCCGGCACGTCTGCTAGTTCTGGTGCCTCTGCTGCCGGTGACAGTGCTGGTGTTGGCACTTCTGCGATAGAGGTACTGATTGTTGGCTCGTTAACATTCTTGTTGTTGTTGTTGTAGTGGGTGACGTTGCTGAAGAACACGCTCTCTCTAGCTTGAGTATTTTCGGAGGAGAAAATGAGCACTAGAAGGAAGAAAAATGAGAGTGATTTTGCAAAGGGAGCCATTGTTTGAGATTTTTTGGTGAATCAAAATGTTGGGTTTTCTAGGACTTATATATATGTACTTGCTCTCTATTTTATCTTTTTGGTCTCTTTATTGGGCGAGCAATTATGCGTGGATTGAGGAAAGGAAGGGGGCTGTGGGGTTTGAAAAATAATGGCATATAGTGCACGCTGCATGTGCAATCTATGAGAATGTCTAGCTAACACCTTTATTGTCAAAAACACCGTCTCAGTCAAAAGGGTGGCATTTTCTTTAATTTCTAACTACTTTTGAAACGGATTTCTCTGTAGCTTGAATGAATAAAAACAGTATACGGCTGAAGATTTTGATTTCTCTATAGTTGAGTTAGGATTCGTTTAGGAGTGATTCTGGAGAAAAGCACCTCACATCATGTGCTTCTCTTTAAAATCACTTAAAGTGATAATATAGAATATAAATGATTCTCCATACAAGTGCTTTTTCAGTCTATCTAAAATCATTCTCAAACGAGCCCTAGCTAAGTAAAGAAAAAGTGAAAAACAAAAAGAAAAAGAAAAAGAAGTTGAGAGGAGACCCCACATAATTACCATTGCCCCCATGGGTTCTGGCTTCTCTAGTAAGCATGTAGTTCGCTTGATGATTGTTTTGGCCCCTTTTTTTTTGTTTTTTTGTTTCTTTTTTGTTTTGAGACATAATTCAAAGCGTCTTGCAAGTTAATTTTGCAAAGTTACCTCAACTACCAAGATTATTATGGTTGAAAATTGAGTAATGCTACTCTTATCACATTTATATATCACATTTTCATATCACTTATTTGGCGGATGAGGTGAACAACCACATTAATTAAAATTAATTTAACATTTTCTTTTCTTTTATGATTTATTGACATTTTTTAACTAATGTGACTATCTACTTCATCTGCCATATAAGGTGGTATGCAAATGTGGTAAGAATAACATTATTCTTGCTAATTACATTGTCGAATAATGTCTACTCTTACCACATTTGTCTACTACATTCTCATACCACTTTATGTGGCAGATGAGCTAGACAACCACATCAATTAAAATTATTTAACATTTTAGGCGTTGATGTTAAAAGTCAACTAATTTTCTCCTCCTTTAATTTCCTAGTTGATAATTCCCCTAATTTTCTCACTTGGTTTCCTTAATTGATAATCCGCAACTTTCCCAAGCCCTCCCAAGCCCTGTTTTGTATAAATAGAGTTTAGACCCTATGACATTCACTGAATAAGAAGATAATTTTTCTTCTTTAACAATTCAATAATTGACCAAGGCAATAAGGAGGGGCGAAAACCATTCACCGGCCAGCAGCAGTGGCCCTGGTCTCCCAAAATTTTAAGCACGTGTATATATAATAACATGACATCGCCTATAAATATTGAAGAAAAAAAACTCTCATATTTAGGTTAGTGAGTCCCCAAATATGTATGTAGTTTGTTCTTTCTATTTTGGCCCTCCGAACTTAAAATCCTAATTCCACTCCTGACAATGAATCTGTACTCGAATTCAATTTATTTTCACGTACATTATAGTTAAAAAAAATTATGGTAAATTTTTTTTAAAAAATTTCAATTATCCACATCGTTGCAAAAAGCAAGAAGTGTCTTTTGATGTTTTACAAATATTTATCAACAAAAGCATGGTATGCATCCATAATCTTTCATTTCTTTGTAACCAACAAGGGACTATATTAGTGGCGCAATCACTGGACTAAAAATTGCAGCACGTCAAACATTGTGAATGCTTTTCTTTTAATGGCTCAAAACTTTTGACTTTAGATTTGCGGGTTTGGGTTATCAGTGGAGTTTTGAAGGCCCATATAGTTCTTTGGACTTTACGGGTTTGTGTTTTCACCGAATCAGTGTCGAGCAAATTTGTTTCCCTAGGCCTTAACCCTCATCTTGGGCTGTAGATATGCCTAATTTGGGCCCATATTGCTTGGTCTTAATTTTGACTTTGGTCCTACAACTCTTGGTTGACACTAATGGGAGTAGGGGAGTTTGAATGCAGGATATGGGATGCACAAGTAAATGCTCTCAATTACTTCAGCTATAAATCCTTTATAGGTGCAACACATTCAAGGGACATTTGGCACGTCATATTGGACTAGACAAGACTAAATTCAAAGACTGGCTTGGATTGGCTTGGATTTAGTCTTGTTCTATGTTTGGTGTGCCGGTACTAAGTGGCAAGATAGTGCTATTTAACACTATCCTATGTTTGTGTCACACCCCGATTCGAGAATAAATAATATTCATGAATTAGGGTGTGAATCATATCATAGTTATAAGAATAAAATCTGACAACCATGATATGATGAAAACTAGAGCCACAACTAATATCAATTTACTTAATAATATACAGAATCACAATCGCAGTAACTCGTAGTTAAATACACACTAATATCTTTATTAAACGGTTGAGTATTTAGTAATATTATACAAATCAACAGTAAAGGCCTAGTTGCTTGGTGGAAACCCACTTCCTCAAACTTCGCCTTGAATCCTATACAATCTGTTAGAGTATGAGCATTCTAATGCCCAATAAAGTACCGTCAAACCCCTCAAGGTCAGTTATCATAATTAATCAAAGTGTCATGCGTCAACCAAGACAAAACCAATAAAATATGCACATGTGATGATGCCATAAACTTACTCCCTTCTAATCCCGCTAATTCATATCTTAGAGCACCAAACCTATATGTCTCATACTATGTATTTTACCATTTTGACTCCGAATACCCCAAAATATGAATCAAACCCATCCTATCATTCTAATAGCTTCAAAACTCACTCCAAACTTCACACCTACCATCAAAACTCATTAGTCCTTGAAGGAACTCAAAACTTTGAAGGAACCCAAAACATTAAAATTACTCAACACACCCAAAAACGAAATTGATCCTCTAACGAATTTTATCTTTCTACCTTTCAAATGACTCGAAACAACTGTACAATTGAATTAAATCCATCAACTTATAAGATTCTTGGAAATCATGAGTTTGAAAATATCTTCACCTCTAACAATAATCCAAGAACACCTTAATCCTTATCTTTCCTTCGTATTTCTCCCTTGTTTTCCTCAGTTAATGTCTCGCATTGACGTGCTGATTATCAACTCCACCACCCTTAATTATTAGTTATCCTACTAGGGTGGTGAATCACCCTAATTTAGAGCTCCAAAATAATTGTTGAAAAAGAAAGGGAGTAAAAGGGAAAAAGAGTTTGGATGTATCATCCAAAATAATTATTAGTTATCCTCTCTCTCTCTCTCTCTCTCTCTCTCTCTCTCTCTCTCAAACCTATAAGGGCATTTTGGTAATTTTCACATGTAGGCGTATTTTGGTCATTTTGGCCCAAAATTCATAAACGATTTCCCACGCGTTTGTTGAGTCGAATGCTATCGTTCTACCTAAGAATCATAATTTTGTCACTCTAGTTTCTTAAATGTCTTTGAAAAATTCACAAAACGTAACGTACGGGCATTTTTGTCCAACTGAAAATTAAACACACTTAATCCAATATTTTCAATCTAAAATCACTTGATAAAATATCCATAATCATCCTTTACCATAATATTATTTTTCACTTAAATACGAAAATCTACCTTGAATTTTTCAGAGTATTACCCAGTTTGGTGCAAGCATAAATTTGAATGGATTGAACTAAATAATATTTTGAAGATTGTTCAATGACTTTTGCGAGTGTTAAATTCAAAAGTTGAATAGTAGAAAAGTATGGAAGTCTACATCCAACTGCACATACATCATCAAACCCTATGCGGTAAATAACTGAAACATCTATTTCAAAAATCTTCAACCATGAAAAACCAAGTACAAACCCACAAAAATTTGAACCGGAAAAACAAAAATTGGTCAGATATAGAGGAAACTTAGAAGAAGGAAACCTTCTGGGGTTGAAGACATTGAGGTTGAAGAAGAGAACGAAGAAGACGAAGAAGAGAACAAAGGTGCTGGGGGACCCATTGATATGGTGGGAGAGAAGGAAGCCTTATGGGGTTGAAGACGTTGAGGTTGAAGAAGAGAACGAAGGTGCTGGGGGACCCATCGATTTTGTAGTCTTGGTCAAATTGTCAATGCTCTCTCGATGTGCCCATTTTAATTGAGCTAAAATAAGCCCATTTAGTCAAGTTGGAATCCACCCAGTCCGGGTTTTAAATAATAACATGTTTGGTCCAAGACAGGATTTGTTGTAAATAGCTCAATCGTTGTCCGGTCCTATGCAACAAACGTACCCTAATCTATGTTAATCGTAACCCATTATCCCACATTTTCTCACATTTATTTGGGTCCAAGTTAAATGTCTTCGCGTCACTATAATGGACCTGAACTTCATCATTTTGGGCCTTTCTCCTCTAAACTATAGTGAGGGTGTCATATATAGACTGCTCATGTGGTTCTTCATATTAGTTATAGGATTATTTCATTAAACTTAAGTGAAGTTACTATTCAGATGAATTCCGTAGCTAATATGAAGGTCTACATCTATGATCCATATATGACATCCTCACTATAGAACGACTCATACTTGAGGAGCATTGACAATTTGACCAAGACTACAAAATGATATTTTGTTTAGACAATGTTCCAAATGACTCAATTCATTTGGATTTGAGTGATAAAAGTTTTAGCCAAACGAGTTCACCCCATATTTATCAATTCATGGGTAAACCATAAATTTAAAAGAACTGGGCTAATCGTCTGTTAATCCAAGAAATACAAATAGGACAAGTCAAGAATAACTAAATTGGAATTTTCTGTACTTGCAAGATACAACTATCATGATTGGATTTAGAAAAAAATTGGCTATTACGTACTAGCTCATTATTAATAGAAGGAAAAATAAAAAAGTGAAGAAACTACACATGTGGGAGTTGGTTGAGGTGGGCTATTGTCAAAAGCCTAACTTATGCGCTGTGAAAAAAACGCATTTCTGCCCAAGTTGTACACTAGGCTATATAGCCAAGGCAGCCAGCAAGCAGTTCTGGCCCTCAACCCATTG